CACCTGTGCACCATATAGCCAGACCAAGGGTCACCAATTGTTTTGAATCTTTGGCCTACATCTCTCTCAATGAGGGAGCTGTTTAGGGTAATGGAATTTTTCTATACCCTGACTGTGGTAGTGATTACTATATTGTTGCGGTTGTTGTTGTTAGCTGCCCTCAAGTTGATTCCAATCCACGGTGACCCCATGTGTCACAGAGTAGAACTTCCCCACAGGGTGTTCTTGCCTGTAATCTTAACAGGAGATCGCCAAGATTTTCTTCCGTGGTACTTCTGGGTGGGTTTGAACCACCAACCTTTAGGTTAGCAGTCGAGTGCAAACCGTTTGTGCCACCTAAGGACCTCATATGTGAAACTATACATGTGTTAAAATTAATAGACATGTACACCAAAAAAATATGTTTTCATGGGTGTTTTTTTTTTTTTTTTAAAAAAATACAACAAAGAAAGTAAAAAAACAAATGACAAACTTGAGAGAAAATGTCTGCATTCCATATCACAGTTAAAGGACTAATTCCCCTAACATACAAAAAAAATCATACGAATCAGTAAAATACCAACAATCCCACAGAAAAAGGTATAAAGGTTATGTATGTACAGTTCAGAGAATAAAAACCAAATGACTCTTGAGCATGTTAAAAGGTGTTCGCCCTCACTCCAGAGAAATACAAATTGAAACTACACTGAGATAACATTCTCCTCCTATGAGACTGTCAAAGACCAAAACATTGGCTAAGACACTGCACTGGGGAAGAGATAAGGAAACAGAACCTCCTACATGGCTGAGAGAGGAGTGTGAATCAGCACAACCACTACAGAAAGTGTTCTGGCAATGACTTTGTGGTGGACAACTAGCAATGTCCACCACAAATCTATTTTGCTCTTCTTCCATAGTAAGCAGTTGTCACAGGCACATGGCTACCTGGTCCAGCCTCCTTTCCAGCCAGGTCTGACCACAAGTCTCAGTTCTGGCAAGTACAAGTGAAAGAGATGTGTGCCCCTTCTAGGTTGGGCGTTAAAACATGTGGCATACATGTCTCTGATTCCCCGGCTCCCATGAAGAGTGTGCCTGTGACCCAGTGAAGCGCTATGGCTGCTAACCAAAAGGTTGGCAGTTAGAATCCACCAGCTGCTCCTTGGAAACCCTAGGGGGCACTTCTACTCTGTCCTGTAGGGTCGCTAAGAATTGGAATCGACTCAACAGCAACTGGTTTTTTGGGTTTGGTTTGTGACCCAGCCAGGGCCATACAGATGGGTGTGGCAGTCCAGGGGACGGAAGGACAAGATAGAAGCTTCCTGAATGACTTTGTGGAGCCCAGCCACTGCCAATCATGGACCAACTGGCTCAGGACGTTTAGATAAAAGAGATAAGGCTCTACTTTCTTTAAACCACTTCTTGTGGGCTCTGTCCTACCAGCTCAGCCTTCACCATAAGTAGAAGGGCTATCAAAATCACAAATACGCACATCCTTTGATCCAGAAATTTTACTTCTAGGAATCTATACTACAGATATGCTCACATATGCAAAAAATGACACAGACATATATGTACGTGTACACACGTGTATGCATGTGCACATGCACGAGTGTGTATATATGTGGACACATATATACACACACACACATACACATGGGTACACGTGTGCTCACTTGCACATGTGTACACACACACACACACACAGCTAGATATGTATCGCAATAGCAAAAATTCAAGTCCCCCTAAGTACTTGTTAACATGAGACTGGTTAAGCACATTATGTTATAGTCATTCAGTGAGAAAATGTGTAGCAAAAAAAAAAAAAATGAGGAAGCACTCTAGGTCTGACACAGAACAATCTCCCAGATATACTACCAAGTGAAAAAAGCAAGGTACAGAACAGTCCATATAGTACGCTATCATCTGTGAAAAGAAACTAGAATACATACATGTATCTTTGTAAATGATGGGCTATTTCTAGAAGTACACACACGGGATTGTTAACAATGGCTGCCTTTGGGGAGGGAGACTGAGTGGCAGAGAGAGAAATAAGGGAGGCTTTTCACTGTGTATCTTTCTCCTTTTGGATTTTATAGCATTGGTATATAAAACCTAGCCTAGAGCAAGATTTAAAAATGGGTAAATAGCCCTCTGAAAGACCCAAATGCTAAAGGGGAGGCTCAAGGCACAGGGAAGAAATTGACTAAAATGACAAACAATAGAAGATGGATTATATGTAAATAATTCTCATGATAATAACGAACATATAAAGGACAAAGTGCCCAAGAAGGATTTATCTGGATGGAATGAAATGTAATGATATATGGTGCAGTAAGGCTCCCTGGCATGAAATGCAAGTTTGAATGGAATTCCACAGATGACAGGCTGGGGAGGTGGGGGGAGTGGTACAAGGTAGAATGGTGAGAGCAAAATACACCGGAGTAGGTTCTCTTAACGCCAGTCCCTGATCTAACCCTACTCACTGCTCCTTAGTTCTTCACAGAATACTGTTTCCATCAGTATTTTCAAACATTAGATGCCTACTATGTGCCAGGAACAAGAAAATACAAAAATAAACAAAAAGTAAGCTCTGCTCTGGAGGGGCAGAGCACATTACTGAAAATTGGAAATCAACCTAAACACACTACCATAAAAACTGATTCCAGAGCAAGCCCCTTAACTACTATTAAAACGCCATTAAGACGCACACATCTTGGTTTCTAAATACGATTCCCCATTCAAAGGAACCAGGCCTCCTTGAAGAAATGGCTGATTCCAGGGCTTGGGAAGGAAAAGTAGAAGATGAGCCTGAAACAGCCCGTTATGCCAAGAAATATGGAAGTACTCACAAAAATGACCCAGACATATCACAAGGACATGGGAGCCAGTTTGAAGGGGCCACCACTGGCCAAGACTCGGGCAATTGGAGCAACAAAATAAATAAAGAATTACAAACCATTTTTAAAAAAGAACCAGGAATTCTTGAGTTCATCCTGATAATAAATCTAAATAAGTAAACAGACATACAACTAGAGGAGAAGAGAGAGCTCTTGCTCATATGAAAATGCCAAGGGCCAACTGGTAAATGTTGAAGAGGTGCTGAATTGGAAAAAGCATCACTCGCCACCACTGTAGTAAAGATTGGGTCAGACAAGAATCATTAATGGATGGTAAATCTAGGGGCAAATATGGATGAAGGGCAAGATACATGTATGGTCTTAAAGTATCTCCTCACAGATAGCTTATTAGTTGTGAGAGAAAAATAAACAGTTAACTATATCGTGGAGCGAAGAGACACCTTGACTAGGGGATCAAAATTAACACCACAGCTCAGCCACAAAGAGAAATGGATTCCTTATGCCCGCCACAACATGGATGAACTTTGAAAACAGGATGCTGAGCACACAAAGTCAGTCACAAACGGACAAATACTGTACGATCTCACTTAGAAGAAATAAGCAAATACACAGAAACCAAAAATTATTAGTGGTTACCAGGGGTGGCAGGGAGGAGGAAAGGGGGAGTTTCTGCTTAAAGGGCACTGAGTTTATGTTAACCGTGGTAGAAGGATTTGGAAAAGGTTAGTGAGAATGGTTGCACAACTTGAAGAACATGATCAATGTCACTGAATTGTACATGTAGACATTCTTGAACTGGCAAATTTTTGTGTGTGTATATTTTCACCACAATAAAAAAAAAAAAATTAACATCACCAAAGAGGGCCAGGTGAACAGTGTGTGCCTCCTACGAAGTCCAAAGGAGGACAAAACTCACCTCTGTAGTGTTCTGCAGTATTCCAAGAATACATAATCTGAACCTTATAACCAAGAGCCCAAAATAAAAAAAGTTCTATTAAAAATAGGGGCAAGGGGCTTTATTCTTTCAACATGTCATTGCCATTAAAAAAAAAAAGCAAGCTGTGGAAATGCTCCAAATTAAAAGAGGCTGAAGAGACGTAACTACTAAATGTATTATCTGACCCCAGGAATTCTTCTTCTCCAGTCTACGATCAGGCATTGCCCTATAATGGAGGGGAAAATATTCTATAAAGGACCTTACTGGGTCAACTGACAAAACCGTAGTAAGAATAAAGTATTGTATCAATGCTGAATTTACTGAAGTTGATAACTGCACTGTGGTTTACATAAAAGAATATCCCTTGTCTTAGGAAATACAAATTGAATTTTTTATTAGAGGCAAAGGGCCATGGCATACATGAACAAGCAAAAAACAACAAAACCCAAACCAGTTGCCATCGAGTCAGCTCCGATTCATGGCGACCCTATGTGTATCAGAGTAAAAGTGTACTCCATACGATTTTCGATGGCTGTGATCTTTCACCAGTAATCACTGGGGCAGTCTTCCGAGGTACCTCTGGGTGGATTCTAACCACCACCTTTGGGTCAGTAGCAGAGCACTTAACCATTTGCAGCATCCTATGATACGTATGAGGCCCTGGTGGCGCAGTGGTTAAAAACTAAAGCTGCTAACCAAAACATCAGCAGTTTGAATTCACCAGCCGTTCCTTGGAAACCGTATGGGGCAGTTCTACTCTGTTCTATAGTCACTGTAAGTTTGAACCAACTTGATGGCAAGGGGTTTTTTGTTGTTGTTTTTTAATGTATGTACAGCCTGCATTTAAATGGTTCAAAAATAAATAAATCGCGTGTGTGTATCTGTGTGTGTGACAGAGAGAGAGAGAGAAAGACAGAGAGCAATCAAGCATACACATGCATAAATAACAAAGAAAAGGGGGAAAATGTTAATAGGTGAATCCTCATAAAGGGTATATGGGTGCTCTTGTTATTATTAACTCTTGCAACTTATCTGTAAGTTTGAAATTATTTCCAAATAAAAAATTGAGAAAGGCCAGTAAAGAGAAAACACTTCCAACTGATGAGCAATTTTCTTCACAAACAAGAATTAAGACCTAAAAATTGAGGACGCAAAGTTTCCTGACACTAACTCACTCAGAGTTTTTAAATGAACAGTTATACAGTATGAACCATCTTAATACTTACAATTCAATACATGTTATCAAGTCAAATCCAAGCAAACGGGAGTCTCTCTCCACAGCAGAGCCATGATACAAGGTAACAGTCAACGTCCTCTCCCTGGGTTTTAGATAGTCCCCAACGAGGGGAGACAACTTATACCTGCAAAAGCATTATTGCAGAAATAAGGGACTTTTGAATACAATAACCTATTTAAAAATATCTCATCAGATACAGAACTCTGATCCTGATAATTATCTTCAACCTACACTGACAAATCTGATATTGCCTATTTTCCATGTCTTGTGTTTCCTCACACACATGGAAACTACCGGCCAATGAGAACAAGATTTTAAACTGCTATTACTATAAATAACTTTGCTATTGCTCTCATTTTTAACACTTTTAGTCTGCCAGGTCACTTTGGATCAGTCATTTTCAACTTTTCTTTAGTAGAAAACCATTCTCAAAACCATCTGTAAACGCCTAACACATAGAGGAGTCTCTATGTGGTTCAAACAGTTAACGTGCTCGACTGCTAACTGAAGGTTGAAGGTTCAAGTCTGCCTGGAAGAAACGCCTGGCAATCTACTTCTGGAAAACCAGCCATTGAAAACTCTATGGAGCACAATTCTACTCTGACACACATTGGGTTGCCATGAGTTGGAATCAACTTGATGGCAACGGTTTTGTTTTGTTTTACTACATACATAGAAGAGATAGGAGAACTGCTCTGGTCCAAGCTGGAGCAGGAGGCCTGGTAACTTTGCCCCAGTGTTCTCTTGAATAAAATCCTCTGCTACAAACCATCATGGTGTCTGGCATTAAAGTGATGAGACTTTGCCACTAAGCAAATTTGAAATTGAATTTGCAATGCTTTGACTATTATAATTTAATTTATAAATTGGGAGAAACAAAATACAGATTATTATTCACAATATATACAGAAAGAAACCAAGCCAATAATCAGTGTTACAAGCAAGTCTTCATTATTCAGTGCGCTTAAGACTTCCTCAGAGTCCCCAATCTTCTAAACAAATTATATATAATTGACACTTTCTCTAAACAGAATTAATAATGCCACTAGTTTTCAATTAACCCATTAGACTCTCAGTAACTAGATTATTACTCTTTCCGTCGTAATTTATCTTCATTGGTATCTACTCCAACAAGCAGTTCAAGGCACTTGTGGAATTTTAGCATCCATAAGAGCGAAGTATCACCACAACCCAAGTCTGCAACCTGTAGATAAGACAGAATGTGATTTCAAAGATATTTATAGCCACAAAAGGCAAGTATAATATAAAAAAAAAAATGTTTGAGTAGGATGGGGAGTGGGTATAATAAATAAAATCAAAATAAAGCTATTATATTGAAGTATCTCTTTTTTTTGTAGGAAAAAAGTATACAAAAAGGAAATTAATCTAATGAGATAGTGTAAGCCTGGGTGAAAATTAAGCCATGTCCTGATAACACCCCTACAGAAAGAGTGTTTAGGCCTTTACAAGAAATTCCTCTTACTCAGGTCAGCATCAGGTGTATTCTCGGGGCCTGGCACAGGAACAGAGCCCTGGTGGTGCTATGGTTAAGAGCTCGTCTGCTAACCAAAGGGTCAGCAGTTCGAATCCACCAGCCACTCCTTGGAATCCGTATTGGGCAGGTCTCCTCTGTCCTATAGGGTCACTATGAGTTGGAATTGACTCGACAGCAACGGGTTTGGGTTTTTTGGTTTTGGCACAGGAACACCACCCACGGCAGGCAGGTAGGCGCTCCAGGAAGGGAAACTTGGTGTCTCTGCGCAACTTTCTGACTGAACACTAAAAGATACCTACTAAACAAATCAGCACAGAAGCCTAACCTGGACCAGTGCTTCACAATTCATGAATACACACATTCTTACTAATCTGATTTTCTTCATACACGTTCTTAAAGATTTTTATTAAATCCAATTTTCTTAATCACGCAATAAAGTCTTCATTATCTGTAACTGAATTGCCTAATTTCTGAACCCCACTTTAGGAGAAAAAGGCAAATGACTGTAAAATAAACACATGACAAACTTTTTTTAATGTTTCCCCCTCAAAAAGAGATAACTGCAAACAAACTTCTAAGGTAGTTAATGGGCCCTAATCCAGACTTAAATAGATGTTTGAGGACATGAACTATTTCAGGATCTTGAGTCATGAAAGATTCCATCTACTGTCTTAATGCAATACATTTTAGAATGGTTTTCTAAAGCTAGAAGTCTTATGGCTGATCTAAAGTTTACCTCAAAATTCATTTCATCAGAAAACTCCACTTTGTAAAATCAAGATCAAAAATTCTCTGCCTCGGCATTTCCCAGACTGTTTTCTGTGGAATACTGCTAAATCTCCTCTTAAAAATTCAGATTATATTTTAGCAATAAAAAAAAAATTCAACCTTATTGTTATGGATGGAATTCTGCCCCCGAAAACTGTGTGTTATAAATCTTAACCTCTACGCCTGAGGTGGTAGTCGAATTTGGAAATGAGTTAACTTTGTTATATTAATGAGGCAGGATTAGTGTAGGGTATGTCCTTAAGTCAATTTTTTTTTTGAGGTATAAAAGAGATCAAACAAGCAAGCAGAGACAGGGAAAGAAAGATGTCAAGCCACGTGAAGATCGCACGAGAGCAGAAGCTCAAAAGAGAAAAGGACCTTCCTCCAGGGCCAGTGGAGACAGAAAGCCTTCCCCTAGAGCCAGCACTCTGAATTCAGACTTCTAGCCTCCTAAACTGTAAGAAATTAAATTTGTATGTGTTAAAGCTATGCACTCGTGGTGTTTCTGTTATAGCAGCACTAGCTAACTATGACAGAACTTGGTACTAGAAGAGTGGGGTCCTGCTCTAACAGATAACTAAAATGTGGAAGCCGTCTTGGAATTGGGTGATGGGTGGAGGCTGGAAGAGTTTTTCAGGTGTCTAATAGTAAAAGCCTAGATTGCCTTGAGGAGACTGTTGGTAGAATTACGGATGTCAAAAGCAATTCTGGTGAGGGCTCAGAAGGAAGTGAGAAGAGCTACAGAGAAAGTCTCTGTCACCTCAGAGAATACACGTGGCACCAGCAATAGAATGTTGCTAGAAATGTGGATGTTAAATGTGCTTCTGGTGAGGCTTTAAAATAAAAAGATGAACATGTAATTGGACAATGGAAGATGGGCGATGCTTTTTATGCAATGGCAAAGAACTTGTCCGAATTATGTTCAAATGTTTGGTGGAAGGTGGAACTTGTAAGTGATGAACTTGGATATTTGGCTGAGGAGATTTCTAAGCAAGCTCTTACAGGGGCCGCATAGTTTCTCCTTGCTGCTTATGGAAACCCTGGTGGCATACTGGTTAAGAGCTACAGTTGCTAACCGAAAGGTTGGCAGCTCGAATCCACCAGGCGCTCCTTGGAAACTCTACAGGGCAGTTCTACTCTATACTACAGGGTTGCTATGAGTTGGAATCGACTCGAAGGCAATGGGTTTTTTTTTTGTTTTGCCGCTTACAGGAAAATGAAACAGGAAAGAGACAGACTTAAAAATGAACTGTGCAAAATGAAAACAGAACTTAAAAGATTTAAAAAATTCTCTTGTACAAACTAAGGACACACGTCCTATAATGTTCACCAAGGACATGGCTACACAATCTTTTGTTAAAGAGATTAAGCCTGTGACTGGTGGATCTAACCAACTACCATAGCAGAAAACCCATTAGCTTAGACTAAATGGGACAGACAAAGAATGAAAGGAAAGAACGCTGTCTGCCTCTTGGAATTCTACAGGCAGGAAAACAGCCCAAAAGAGCTACATCTCTTGTCCTCCAAGAAAAGAAAAGGACCACCCTTCCAGTAGCTCTGAGATCAGAACTATTGGAAGGAGCATGGAAAGCAGGGCTGCATCGGTTTTAAAGGCAGGGGGGAGGTCACAGTCTCTGTCATGGATTGAATTGTGTCCCCAAAAATGTGTGTCAGCTTGGCTAGGCCATGATTCCCAGTATTATGTGACTGTCCACCATTTTGTCACCTGATGTGATTTTCCTATGTGTTGTAAATCCTATCTCTATGATGTTAATGAGGTGGGATTAGTGGCAGTTATGTTAATGAGGCAAGACACAATCTACAAGATTAGGCTGTGTCTGAAGTCGATCTCTTTTGAGATATAAAAGAGAGAAGCGAGGAGAGAGACATGGGCGGGGGGACCTCATTACCACCAAGCAACAAGAACCAGAAGTGCGCGTCGTTTGGACCTGGGGTCCCTGCGCTGAAAAGCTCCTAGACCAGGGGAAGACTAATGACAAGGACCTTCCCCCAGAACTGACAGAGAAAAAGCCCTCCCCTGGAGCTGGTGCCCTGAATTCAGACTTCTAGCTTCCTAAACTGTGAGAGAATAAATTTCTCTTTGTTGAAGCCATACACCTGTGGTATTTCTATTGTAGCAATGACTAAGACAGCCTCCCAGGTTTAAAAGAGTAAGATCTTCCCCAACTTAGTTCCAGACTGTGGGGCTGCCGTTCACGAGTGCAGTGGGATGGGGTCACTGCCCAAATCTGAGGGGGCAGGGCTGCCACGCCCAAGGGGCAGAGAAATGGGACCTATCGGGCTGAGGAGGTGGGATCGCCATTCAGATGAACTAGGAGAATGGGGCTGCCCAAAGCTGACGGAGCAGAGTTGCCAACCCAGTGGGCCTGGAAGCTGAAGCTGAAGCCCAGGGCTGAAGGGTCTCCACCCAGAATATGTACAGAGAGTGTGGCTGGTGCCCAAAGTTTGGAGGTCAGGGTCATTGTCTAGATGGTCTCAGAGAAGAAAGGATTATTTTCAAGCCTTGAGAGCTAATGTATTCTGCTGGGTTTTGGACTTGCTTGGTGCCAGCTATATCTTCTTTCCTCTAATTTCTCCTATTTGTAATGGAAATATCTATCTTGTGCCTGTTCCACCACTGTACTTTGGAAACCGATTAACCTGTAGTCTAGATTTCACAGGTTTACAGGTGAAGAGGAATTTTGCCCCTAGATGGAACCTAAAGTCTCCCCTGTATTTGATTTAGATGATTCAGAAGGTAGATCTTGGACTTGGAGTGGATTTAAAACTTTTGAGATAATGTAATGGGGTGAATGTGTTTTGCATATGGCAAGGACATGAATTTTGGGGGGCCAAAGGGTGGGATGTTATGGAATGAACTGTGTCCCCCAAAAGTATGTGCTGTAAATCCTAACTCTATGCCTGTGGTTATAATCCAGTTTGGAAATGGGTTGTTCTCATTATGTCATGAGGCAGGATTAGTGTAGAATATGTCTTCAATCTCTTTTGAGCTATAAGAAGAGATTAAACAAGCAGGTAGAGATGGGGGAAGAGAGATGCCAAGCCACATGAAGCTCGCACAAGAGCAGAAGCTCAAAAGAGACAAGGAATTTCCTTGAAAGCCAACAGAGAGAGAAAGCCTTCCTCTAGAGCCGGCCCCCTGAATTTGGACTTCTAGCCTCCTAAACTATGAGAAAATAAATCTATGTGTATTAAAGCCATCCACTTGTAGTATTTCCGTATAGTAACACTAGATAACTAAGATACTTCTTTAACCCAATTTTCCCCAAAAGTGTGTTTGACCAAAGAACCTTTTCATTAAACATCTATTAACACCTTAGACAAACCTTGCAGTCTACCTCAAAGTTGTACCCTTGGTCACATTAGGTATTTTCCTTTTGGAGGCACGCACATCTTTTCTTATGGGTAAGTGGAGGAAAAAGAGAAGCATGGAGTTGAAAGATGAAAATCTAGCCCCAGAAAGCAAAGTTTAAGCCTTAGTGAAGTATTAAACTACCTTAATATTTGTACAATACACCCAATTTTCTTCTGAGCTGAAACTATACTGGTAAGCATGATATGTGAACCCCATCAATGGCTGCAAACAACCCAGCAAAAAGAAAAGTTTGTAGAGTTGAGATATCTTTACAAGACTTCTTTAGAGAAAATTAAACTACCATCACTTTCCTTAAGAATTCTATCATTATTTAGCCTATAACTGACCCTGAAAAAAAAAAATACAAAAATAAAAAACCAAACCCGCTGCCATCAAGTCAATTCTAACTCATAGCAACCCTATAGGACAGAACAGAACTGCCCCATAAGGTTTCCAAGGAGCGGCTGGCAGATTCGAACTGCCGACTTTTTGGTTAGCACCTGAGCTCTTAGGAGCAAGATAGTCTCTGGGCTAGGCCGTGGACTGCTCCCTTGGTCTAGGAAAGCCACACACTTAACAATGACACAGAAAGGTAGCATTATCCAGACAGATCCTGTGGCGTAGACAACTGCTAACACAGATCACTAACCTTCGGTGCAAAGGGAAAGAGGATGCCAAGAGCCCTATACCTTTCCCCCGCCATCTCACCCCATCCCACCCTCACCAACAACACCCCTCAACTGCTGAGTACCAAAGACTTCAAGAGCAAGGTGATCATAAAGTAACTGCGGAGGGATTACCAAGAGCACAAGACCTCAGTGTAAAGACATTCAAGAGAGGTTTAAGTCTGGACCAGTGAATGAGAGAGAGGGCTTGAACCCGACGAAAGGAGCCAGTGGGGGCAAGAAGAAGAGTACCTAGGAGGATTTTTAAATTATCTTTGAAATTTTACATAATTAATTTCCTGCCTTAGATTATTCAAACTAATTTTTTAAGATGAAAGTCAAAATTTCATCAAATAAAAAGAACCCATCCTATTTCAGAACAATTACTACTGACTACATTGGACTAATATGAGAAAATATTAGGTACACGCACTGCTACGAACTGAATCGTGTTCCCCAAAAATATGCGTTGTGATTCCTAACCTCTATGCCTGTGGTTATAATTCCATTTGGAAATGTGTTGTCTTTGTTATGTTCATGAGCCAGCATTAGTGTAGGCTGTATCTTGAGTCAATCTCTTTTGAGATATAAAAAGATTAAATAAGCAAGCTAGAAGCAGAGATGGAGGAAGACAGACGCCATACCACATGAAGATCACCAAAGAGCCAAGGAATAAGGACATTCCCCCAGAGCTGACAGAGAGAGAAAGACTTACGCTACAGCTGGCACTCTGAATTTGGATTTCTAGCCTCCTAAGCCATGAGAAATTAAATCTGTTTGTTAAAGCCACCCACTTGTGGTACTTCTGTTATAGCAGCACTAGATAACTAAGACACGCACTTCCCATTCAGAATCAGAATCTGCGTCTTAAAATATCCTCAGCATTTTTCAGCGAAGAAAGCTTTCCAAAATTTTATTTTGATTCTATTTCATACACACACACACCACAGTCATTTAACTTCTTATTCAACAAAACAGGTCAAACCACGTGAAATTCCATATTGGACTTTTTCTGAGCTGCCAAAAAGGCAATTACAGATGCTTCAACCAAATTCACCTGGGTGATTACAAAGATGTAAACAGCTGTATATATAGTGTATAAAAAGCAGTGGCACGGTTAAAATAAGGGACGCCTTCACACAGGAGAAGAGTCTTAACGGAGTATTTAAAGTCAAGCAGAAAAAAGAAACCTTTCACCCAGAAATTCACTGTAAACTATCAGCATCTGGTCTATATCAAGATCCCCTAATTCACTAGTATAGTAACTAGGTATCTACTGTCAGATGTAGACTCTATGCCATGAATTTAAAATAATGTACTTCAGGAGGGGGGTGGGGCAAAGACAGCAGAATAGTCAGACACTTCCTGTCGTCCCTCTTACAACAAAGACCCAATAAAACAAGTGAATTGAATATATATGACAATCTAGGAACCCTAATCATCAAAGACAAAGCTGAAGAATCAGACTGAGCTGCAGGTGGAAGGAGTGACAATGCAAAAAGAAGGGAAACAGGAAATTGCAGATTGCAGATTTGCTGGTGCCCTGCTGGCTGAGTTGGCACAATGCACATGGGCTGACACAAGCAGCAACATTCCAGGCCGAGGCTTACCACATCTGGTGCAGCCAAGCAGCAGCAAATCGGCGTGCACCTCCAGAACCAAACAGGAGTGGTACCAGACCTGCAAAAGTTAAGCGCAAGCCCTCAACCTACCATGTGTGCTGGCAAAATAACCCCTGCCCCCTCCCCAAACCCTCACAGCTGAAAAGCACTCCCTTCCCCTCACCCACCCCCTTCCCCTCACCCACCCCCTTCCCCTCACCCACCCCCTACCCCACTCCAATTCAGGGATTTGACAATGCCATGCTACCCTCCCCCGCCCCCCTGCCAGGAACTCAGGGCCAGTTGGGAGGCCTTGCCCCTTTGCCCAGCCACTGGCACACAGGGTCCACAGACTTTCAGCGCCCTTCACCCCCACCCAGTCCCTTGTGGGCCGATTCAACACCACATGACCTCAACAGCATAAAATAGCAGGGCATTCACCTGAAGTCCATTTTTACCTGCAGCTGTCAAGGGGGAGTTGCAGATTTGTAACATTCAGCATCAACCCGCCCCCTAAGAAGGGGCCTCATCCACCCACACTAGGGGCCTGAGGGCCAACAGTACCACCCACTCCATCTAGCTGCCCACGACAGGAGTCTGAGAATTAGTGGTGCCTCCCAATCCCACCGGGCACCCAAGGACCAGCTGCACTACCCGTCCCACTATGCACGCTAGGGGACAGGGAAACGCCCTCCGTCCACGCACCCAGAGGCAGCCGTCAGTCCCGGCTTTGCCCCACACAACACCCCTCGCTGCAACCAAGACCTGTGCCTGCTCCAAACACCCCCACACCATCCTGCCCACCTAGGACTGTAGGGGAGAGTCTATACCACACACTCAGTGACCAACAACCCAGACCTGGGTGTGCCTCAAATAACCACACCCCCGCAAGAACAGTGAACAGACTTCTGGACTCATACACCTAGTAGCTGCTCTGACCATCTGCAGACAAGATGTGAGAGCTTTAACAATGCCAACAACCAAAGCAGCTCACACTTCCAGCCTGCTTGGGTGTATTAAAACAAAACAAAAATACAATAAGTATAATAACATATTGATGCCTCAAAGACAAAAGTCAATATCAAATCACATAAAGAAGCAGGACAAGATGGTTACAGCAAGAAACCAAAATAAAGAACCAGAAAACCTTCCGGAAGAAGACAGACAATGGAACTACCTGAGAAAGAATTCGAAAGACTAATATACAGAGCTCTCCAAGAGATCAAGGCAAAACTTAGACCAAGCCAAGGAACGTACAGACAAAGCAATAGAAGAATTCAGGAAAACAATACAAGGACAAAATTTAAGAATAAACAGGCTGCTAGATACCATACAGAGAGAGCAACAAGAAATCCAAAAGATTAACAATAAAATTTCAGAATTAGACAACTCAATAGAAGGTCATAGGAACAGAATTAAGACAACAGAAGTCAGAATTAGTGAGACTGAAGGTAAATCCCTTGACATCAATTTGTTTGAGGAAAAATCAGAAAAAAAGAATGAAAAGAAAATGAAAAAAGCCTACAAACTATGTGGGATGCTATCAAGAGGAAAAACCTTTCAGTGACTGGAGTACCAGAATGGGAGGGATAACAGAAAACAGAATTGTTGAAGATTTGCTGGCATACAACTTCCCTAATATTATGAAAGACAAGAAGTTATCTATTCAAGACGCTCAACAACCCCATACTGGGTAGACCCCAAAAGAAAGTCACCAAGACATATCATAATCAAACTTGCCAAATCAAAGACAAAGAATCTTGAGAGCAGCTAGGGATAAATGAAAAGTCACCTACCAAGGAGAACCAATAAGACTAAGCTCTGACTACTCAGGAGAAATCACAGAGGCAAGAAAGCAATGGAATGACATATATAAGCCTTGAAGAAAAAAAACTGCCAGCCAAGAATTATATATCCAGCAAAACTGTCTCTCAAATATGATGGTGAAATTAGGTCATTTCCCGATAAACAAATACTAGTTTTGACTAGAAGATCTAGAAATCTAAAACCTACAAGATCACATCATTTATAAATTGAATGGTGTCCTCAAAAAAGATATGTTGAAGTCCTAACCCCTGGTACCTGTGAAACTTGACCTTGTTTGGAAATAAGATCTTTGAAGATGTCGTCAGTTAAAGGAACATGAAGTCATACTGGAGTATGACTCCAGTATACTGGAGTGGGTTCTAATACAACCTGAGTGATGTCTTTATAAAAGAGGAAAAGAGACACAGAAGTATAGACACAGAAAAGACAGTTATGTGAAAAATACATCCAGTAAGCCCAGAAATACCTGGGGCTACTTGAAGCTGACAGAGACAAGAAGGGATCCTCTTTAAAAGCCTTCAGAGAGAGCACTGCCTGGCCCACACATTGATTTGGACTTCTACTAGACTCCAGAACCGTGAGACAATAGATTTCTGTTCTTATTTGTTACAGCAGCTCGAGTAAACTAAGACAACATCCAACTGTATAATGTCAAGATTCTCTTCACATTTGAAACATTTCCTAAGGCAGTCAATAATTAAATGTTTGGAAAGAGAAACAATACCCACCTTCTTGGGTTCATGTTGATCCACTAAATCTTTAACGAACTGATAACGCTGTCTGTATAATGGAGGCTTAAACTTAATTACTGTGCTGGTAACTTCTTCAAAATTCCCATCAACCACACTTGCACACTGGAAGTTTACAAACAAAAGAGAGGGGTTCTAAATCATGCAGTTCTTCAGGAATTAAACAAGAAGCAGCTCTATTTCCCCAGTCATTTTGGAGACCACCCTGACCCTCCCTCGCCTCACTGCCCTAAAATCAAGTTATTGTTAGACAACACTGTATTTCCTCCACAGGTCAACTTGTCTTTGTCTAAGCCTCCTCTCATGCCTTTTAATAAATGAGAATCTGGCTTCACGCTATACTTGGTTCCAGCTGAAGGAAAAATTACTAATGAATACATTCAATAAAACAATTAGAAGCCTCCTAGCCACATGGAACCTTTTGTGTGGTGAATTAGCAAAGCCTGTGCTCTGCGTAGGCACGAGGCTGGAAAATTTTTGTAATAATCCCACCAGTAAAAAGCAGGAGTTACATGATTAATCCATAACAGCTGTTACTGCTGTTCCTAAATACCAGTGTTAGAAAAGGAATACAGTCAAAAGGCACTTGCTAACTAGAGCTATGCTGTCCAGCAGAAATAAAATGCAAGCCACACATCAATTTTAAAAGTTCAGTTCCTCAGTTGTACTAGCCACATTTCAAGTGCTCAATAACCATGTTTAGTAAGTGGCTACCGCATAGGACAGTGGCAGATCTACAGCCTAATTACTCCAAATGTGGTCCCCAAACTAGCAGCATCTTCACCTGGAAGCTTCTTAGAAATGCAGAATCTTGGGCCTTACACCAGATCTCCTCAGTCAGAATCTGCAGTTTAACAAGATCCCCAGGTGATCCATATGTCCATTCAAGTTAGTGAAGTTAGTTTTTAAAGTAGATTTTGCTACGTAAGTTAACAATTGATGATGAAAAGAAAAACACTTATAATTCTTGTTATACACCAAATGTGGACATTTCATCTGTGTATATACTTCTTTAGCTCAACAAACACTGGGAAATGCTAGGATTTTGCTTGTAATTACCTCAAGGTACATCACAGGGATAACTCCTGAGGATTATACAAATGGTAAGAACTGTGGCATTACCTGCATGTTGTTTTCATCCATTAGGAGCTAACTCTCGTGGGAAACAAAAATGCAAATGTATCCTTCAAGCACTATATTAGTAGAATAAAAAAGAGAATCATCAATGACTCCACTGTAAATAAAAAATGTCAGTTTTTATAAAGCAGGGAGGGCCCTGGAGGAAATGGTTGCCTAAGGAAGGGAGAACGCCAACTCTCTCCCTGTACATGTTTGATCCACGGAAAAATTTAATCCACAATTTACCCAGTAACTCATTTCAGAGATGTGCAAACAGGCTCAGAAAGCACAAATTACTTGCCTAAAAGGTCAGAGGGTCTAATATCAAAGGAGGTTCCTTTCACTTACTCTGACTAACTAAATGCAATAACATCCATTCCTTCCTTTTATTGTTAGCTTCTTACAAAGTGAACCCTATTGGTTATGTTCATTTCATTGTTAAAACCCTGTTTTAGTTTTCTAGTGCTGCTTTAACAGAAATACCACATGTGGATGGCTTTTAATAAACATAAATTTATTTTCTCACAGTTTAGGAGGCCAGAAGTCCAAATTCAAGGTGCCAGCTGTAGGGGAAGGCTTTCTCTGTCAGCTCTGGGGGAAGATCCTTATTCCTTGGCTCTTTGGTGATCTTCATGTGGTATGGCGTCTATCTCCCCCCATCTCTGCTTCTACCTTGCTTAATTTCTTCATATCTCAAAAGAGATGGACTCAAGATACACCCTACACTAATCCTGCCTCATTAACATAACAAATGCAACCCATTCCCAAATGGGATTATAACCACAAGCATAGAGATTAGGATTTACAACACATATTTTTGGGGGACACAATTCAATCCTTAACATTCCACCCTTTGGCCACCCAAAATTCATGTCCTTGCCACGTGCAAAAGACATTCACCCCATCACATCATCCTAGAAGTTTTAAATCCACTTCAAGTCCAAAATCTCATCTTCTAAATCATCAAAATCAAATATGGGGGAGACTTTAGATGTATTCCATCCTGGGGCAAAATTCCTCTTCATCTGTGAACCCGTGAAATCTAGACTACAAGTTATCTGTTTCCAAAGTACAATGGTGGAACAGGCACAAGTTAGACATTTCCATTACAAATGAAAGAAATTGGAAGGAATAAAGGGACAGCGGCACCAAGCAAGTCCAAAACCTGGCAGAATACATTCGCTCTCGTCTTAGTCATCTAGCACTGCTCTAACAGAAATACCACAAGTGGATGACTTTAACAAAAAGAAATTATTTTCTCATACTCTAGTAAGCTAGAAGTCCAAATTCAGGGCATCAGCTCCAGAGCAAAGGCTTTCTCTCTCTCTCGGCTCTGGAGGAAGGTGCTTTTCATTAGTCTTCCCTCGGTCTGGTAGCATTTTAGCACAGGAAACTCAGGTCCAAAGGACACGCTCTGCTCCCGGAACTGCTCTCTTGGTGGTATGAGGTCCCAAATCTTTGCTTGTTTCCCTTTCCTTTCATCTCTTGTAACATTTTTATCTTACAAGGGTGTGTAGGTCACACTCCAGGGAAACTCCCTTTACAATGGATCAGAGATGTGACCTTAGCAAGGGTGTTACACCCTAATCCTCTTTAACATAAAATTACAATCACAAAATGGGGGGAAACCACACAATACTAGGAATCATGGCCTAACCAAGTTGATGCATATTTTAGGGGGACACAATTCAATCCATGACATTCCACCCTTTGGCCTCCAAAGAATCACATCCTTGCAACATGCAAAACACATTCACCCCATTGTATCATAGCAAAAGTCTTAACTCCAAGTCCAAAATCCAAAAATTCCTCTTCATTTGTGAAATCTAGAATACAAATTATCTGCTTCCAAAGGTACAACGACAGAACAGGCACAAGCTAGACATTTCCATTACAAATGGGAGAAACTGGAGGAAAAGGAAGGATGACGGGCACCAAGCAAGTCAGCAAAACACATTATATTAGCCCTCAAGGCTTTGAAAATAATCCTGTTCTCTAAGACAATTTACACAACAGCCCTGCCCTGCAGACTCTAGGTACTGGCCATACTCTCCAGATTCTAAGTGGAGGCCCCTTGGCCCTGGGCTTCAGCTCTGCCTTCCAGGCCCACTGGGACTGCAACTCTGCTCCCTCAGCTTTAGGCGCACCATTCTCCTAATCCATCTGAGTGTACTCTGCCCTTAGAAACACCAGAGGCCATGGCTCCACCCTTTGAAATCATACCTCTTGAGACTGAGGCAGCTCGGCTTCTTTTCCTTGTCTCTTCAGCTTCTGCTTCCTCATTTCTTGGCCTCTTGGCTCCTTGGGCCTCACACCCTCATCTGCCCTGCTGGGGCAAGTGTTCCAAAGCTCTGTAGCTCCACAGATAAGTGCTCAGAGGCACCCCACTCCCCAGGAAGCCTCCTGCGCACAGACACTCAGCTGTCTCACTCCATGGGTTGGCTATAGCACCGTCTGGCTGGTCTCCTGGTTCTGCTGCTGCCACTTCTCTACTGCTTCCGGTTCTCTGCCCCTGCCGCTCCTCTCTATTCACAGTTTCAAAACCGCTTCCACATTTTAGGTATCTGTTAGAGCAGCACCCCACTCTCTCAGTACCAAATTCTGTCTTAGTCATCTAGTGCTGCTGAAACAGAAATACCGCAAGTGGATGGTTTTAACAAACAGAAATCTATTTTCTCACAGTTTAGGAAGCCAGAAGTCCAAATTCAGGGTGCCAGCTCTAGGGGAATGCTCTCTGTCAGCTCTGAGGGAAGGTCCTTATTCCTTGGCTCTGTGGTGATCTTCATGTGGTATGGCACCTGTCTTCTAAAATGCACCTTACACTAATCCTGCCTCATTAACATAACAAACAACCCATTCTCAAATGGGATTATAACCACAGGCATAGAGGTTAGGATTTACAACACATATGGGGGGTGGGGACACAATTCAATCCATAACAAATCCTAAACCTCAAATTCCTTTCAGTAACTTGTTCACACATGGTCAAAACGAAACTTCGAGGAAAAAAGGCATCTTTAGTACTTGATAAACTAAAGGCAAGACTTTAGGAAACATCTACCCAGCCAATTCACTTATGGACTTAATTTAAATTTTGCTTCTGCATTGCACACTTGCTTTTGACTACATCAACTCAAACTAGAACTTAGCCTGAAAGTTGGGCAACATGTCTTTTGAGAGATTCTCTTAATTCGTATGACCAAACTTTCTTCAAGCTAGCCAACGTTAATGTCTTCATAGACCATCAATCGTCTTTTCTCTCACCTTTCAGTAAGAAGCTCGTCCAAGTGGAAAAGCAAAGTTCGACTGAGAGCAAACAGGCTACAAGCGAAGCAGCCCCCACTCGGTGGAGACCTCAGACAATGCATTTAACTCGGAGCCCGCACCTGCCGCCCGCGCACGCGCAGCCTCGCTACGTGACGTTACCCGCCCGCCGCGGCACCTGTTCCGTCCCCTCGCTGCGTGCGCGCGCCCGTCGGCCGCCCAGGGTTTCTCCGGCCGCTTGGGGCGCCGGGTCCATTCCTGCTCTGCCTGAGCTCCCAGGTGTCGGTTTTGCTTCACATAACGGCTGCTCTGGCGCATGCACCGAAGCTATTTTCTAGGTCTCCATCCGAACCTTGGCGAAGACTTCAGCGCAGCACGCAGCCGTACGGAGCGACTGGCTTGGCGCGGCTGTTGCCTTCCTGGCTCTTCCCGTGCGCGGCGGAAAGCTGAAAACGGTTCCCCCAATGGGAGGCCGCAAGGGGGCAACCGGGCTTAGCGCGAGCCGGCTAGGGTCCGAGTCAGCACCCAGTACTCCCCATGAGAGTCCACGAGGCTTGAAGGCCAGGTGAAGTTGGCTTAATAACACCTGCACTGAGAAAGGAGCCCTGGTGGCGCAGTGATTAAGAACTCGGCTGCTAACCAACAGCTTGGAAACCCTGTGGGGCAGTTCTACTCTGTCCTGTAGGGTCGCCAAGAGTCGAAATCCACTCGACGTCAATGGGTTTGGTTTTTTTGTTCTTTCAGCCCCCAATTGGTTATTTCCGCATGTTTCTGAACTCGGAAAATTTACTGTATCACGCCCTGCTCCCCCTTGAAGAGACTCAACTTGACACTAGAAAAATGACTACTTATACGATGAAAGGTAAAAGGAGAGGACGGGAGGAAGCGAAACTGCTTTCTTAAAAAAATTTTTTTTTTGTTCGTAATTTAAGACTCAAATCTGATGCTTTTTAAAATTTCAGTTGTAATTGGAATAGTAGCCTATTAATATGCAATAAATAGTATATTGGAACTGTATTTTCAGACACCTACTATATGCAAAGCACTGTGCTAACAGCTTTGGGCATAGCACAAAGATAATACTATTCTTGTTTTGGATATTTTGAGGAGTCCATGACCTCATAGGAAAAAAGTATGTAAATAAGTAAGGTAAGAAACAAGCTTTCACAGATGCTGTGATAAATGTCACATCACAGTTTGAGAAGTTCCTGTTTACCTGGGGAAACTGCACTTTTAACAGACTGTCTTCCTTAAAGGAGCATATTCCTTACTACAGAATATAAGCAGAACCTGTGCCTTGGTGGCACAGTGGTAAAGAGCTCGCTGCTGATCAAAAGGTTGGCAGTTTGAATCCACCAGTGGCTCCTTGGAAACCTTATGGGACAGTTCTACTCTGTCCTATAGAATTGCTATGAGTTGGAATCGACTGGACGGCAACGTTTTGTTTTGTTTTTTTAAAGTTAATAAATGATCTAGAGGATTCCTGGATCTCACCTGCTACCGGGTTTTTGCCTCACCTGCTAGATCGCCTGTTTATAATTTAAACTCCTCATGTCCAGTGCCCTCCCCAACTTTGCCTATTTCAGATACCATCATTCTCCTAGTTTCAGAGCCTAAAAATCATCTTTAGCTCTATCCATTTCCTCCCTTGCCACATTTGGACAGTCACCAAATCTTGACCTCTTCAAGCTGTCAGTAGCATCTGTCTCTTCCCACAGCCAACACTTCGGCTTAGCCTTTGTCATCTCATTTTCACATCATACCTCATCCTATCTTTCCCCACCATATGGCAAGTCTTAGAGATAACAAACCACGTTGTAGTCTTTCAGAATGAGTTTAAAGTCAAATAAACCTTAAATCCTGATTTTATTACTCCTCTCTAATCTTTGGAAATTTATTTGGCTTCTCTGTCAATAATTTCACTTGAAGAATGAGAATTAGATTGCCCGTTCAATAAATATGTATAAAACATCTATTACAGACCAAGTACTGGTCTGCAAGCGCAAGACAAATGTAGGTCCTTCCCTCATGGAGCTTAGAGTCCGGCAGGTGTAGCTGTCTAGCATGCAATAGGTGATCAAAAGTTAGTTTCCTGTGTGTCCTCAGCTGCTGGTGGAGTGCCCCGTTCAGTAATTGATGACTGATCATGATGATGATGATGGTTATGGTAATGGTGGAAATGCTGACTCGGTTATCTGGTAGCTCTGGGACTGAATTCCTAGGCTTTCTCAAAAGACATTGATAAGTATAGGGGGAGAAAACTCTATATGTTAATTTTCCAGTATGTGATTT